GATATGTTTTCCCACCATAAAATTAGAAAAAGACTTCAATGCAGGGGTCTTGAAGGAGGAAAGTGATGTAAAGCATGGACATTGACTTCAATATCCGTTCCATAAAATGGAAGAAATGGTCTTTAAGCCAACCCAGTTTATACTCCCAGTGCATCGATGATACGGCACCATAACATTTAATGTCATTTGGATGGTGACCCTCAGCAGATAATGTCAGGCAAGTTTTCGTGATCCAAGGTGACAATAATAGGATTTGAGGACCAGGCATCCTGCCATTTCTCTAGTCATCCTGCCTTGAAGGTCCACTGCCAGGAGTTGCAAGCTGAACTCTGAGCATGAGCTGGAGAGAAGTCAGATTGAGGCTGAAATTTCTGCTAAAACTTCGAATGCCAATAGATTATGCTGTTGATTGGGGAAAAGCCATTTGTTTTGGACAACACGAGTTAAGTAGTCCCATATACTGATTACATATATTTAACCAATGTTCCCTTTGATTTTCTTAACCATAGATATGCAGGGGATAAGACAAGATATATTGCCTATTAATTGGGTGTGTAAAAGACACATTTCCTATGATGAAGGCTTTGAAACTTCCAGATATATCAGAGCACAGCAAACCAGGGAATCAGTCTTCCTGCTTGATTGCCACAGATCCAATTGCAACCCCCAGATACTGAATTTCTAGCGGTGAGGGCATGATTTGGTCCCATGAGATTAAAATGTCATATTGGACCACACAATCATCACAAATTGCTAATAAAATGATAATGATAATAATAATAATTATAATCTCATTTCTGTAGCATTTTTAATCAAATTGCTTTTCAGATCTTGTTTTATTTTGGTCTCACTTCAGCACTGGTAGGGATGATGAACTGATTTACATTAACATCATTGTTTTCAAATAAATAAAGGCTTTAGTTTACCTGATTAGCTCAGACACAGAACTTGTTAAGAGCAAAAAGAACCAGGAACAGAGCCCTGGTCTCTTGAATAGCAGGCTGTTATAGTTCCACTAGGATTTGAAGAAATCAGAGAAGCTAAATTAGTCTAAAGTTTTTGATATGGGTTGAATCACTGTGGAATTATTACATAAAAATTTTCGGCGATGGGACAAAACTTGTGGTCACAGGTAGGTATCAGAGGAATGCAATTTTTTTCAAGTTTTTGGAGGGAGGGAAGAAGAAGTTAGAGTAATAGTTAAGAATCTTTAGAAAAAACAAGGCTGTGATGGTATTTAAATGTAGAAACCTTAGAAGTGGTTTTAAACAAATCTGTATAGTAAAGGACAGCACAGATAACACTGTGCACATACTGTGATAGGAATTAGTTTTGTGTCCATGTGGACTTACACAAAGTGCTCATACGTATGTAATTATTATGAAAATGTTTGACCCAAGGCTGAAGTTTGCTATTACAGGTAAGTTTTGTGAGTTGACGTATTACTTTTCTGATGGTGAAAGGGTGTTGTCAAGGAGCCTGGGCTTTGGCATCAGGCTGAGCTGGAGCTCCAGGTCCATCACTTACTGCTTATGTGAACTTGGAGATGATTCTCTGGCCTCAGTTTCCTAATCCATAAATGGGATAACAGTATGTATCGAGCAGGGGTTGTGCTGGAATTGAATGAGACAGTGTGAATAAAGTACTTTGCACATTGGCTAACTCATCATAGGTGCTGGATAGGTGTATCTACAACTTATTCCAGGAGAACTGTGTCCAGTATAGAGTTATTTGCAGCCTATAATATTAACAGAACAGATATTCTCCAGTGAATACAGTTGTACTTCTAACTGCTCAAATGAAAAGTTATTTTACTGTCCACTCACACAAAAAGATTGAATTTAGACATACTTTTTTCTCTTTAGCAGAATTTTTCCTCACTTAGCAAGAAAAATGAGATTAAAATGTGTCTGTTTTTCATTTCTGTTGTTCTGTGTTTGTAAACATAGATTATGAACACTTTAGGCACATAGAACAAGAAAATAAATCTTAATCCTTTATCTCAATTGCTATTATCTCAACACCAATATTTATTGCCTCTAAAATTTATAGGCAATAAGTTTGAGTTTCATACTCATGTTTATGAGGAAAAAAATTAAATTCATACAGAAAATGATCGATATGTAAAATCAATTAAATGTAGTTAGAAATGTCATAAATTTGAAATTCTTATTTAAATATAAATTAGCTGTAATTAGTTATTTGATTAAAAATGTGACAAGACAAAATAGAACGTGTAAATCAAGATCAACAAAGTACATATACAGTTGGAGAAATTTTTAGTGTCATTATTATAATCAATCAAATATTATTTGCGCTAAAATTGAGATGTATAAAATTAAAATAAGCACACTGTGAACTAACTATATTTACAGTATGAGTAAAAAATCAACATTGTTTGCTTACTGATTTATGATAAAAATCAGGAACTTGGCTACAAAGCAGAAATTCTCAAGAATATTTTTCCTTTTCTGCTCAATGGAGAAATCCAGTTCTTTTCTTAAGAAATTGCCCATTGAATTATTAAACTAAATCCAAACTAGTCAAAAGACAATATCAGTAAAGCATTAGTGTTTCAGTTGAAGATCAAATTGGAAAGAGTTCTAACATTTATAATTTCAGTTGTTATATTAACAATAAATGTATAATCAAGAACATTCCAGCATTCGAGTGACATCCTTTGCAAACTGTGATGGTTTTGTACATATCTTGACGTTATGTCTGCAAGAAAACTCGGGAACCATAACTTTTAACATTACACTAATTATATATACTCTTTATTCAGCAGAAGTAAACACAGAAATATTTGAGCTTGAAAACAGTTCAGCAGCCCAACAGGGTAGACTCAAATTTGGGGGGAGACAATAAAAGTCAAAATATGGTGCCTTCTTAGTCATGCTTCAACTTCAAATGAAATTCCAAAATAAAATGCGTTCTAGATGAACATTTTCTAAAGTGGAACAAAATTCTGTAAGTGCATTACTTGGTAAGGTAAATATAAAAGCATTTCCAAAAATAATATATTTTAACAGAAATATTGGAAGTATTGCTGTTTTACTTCTAAACTCAAGGCAGTGTTTTGGAGGTGCAACTTTAATATTGCCCTCCTCAAAAATCTGGAGTGGTTCAGATGTGACATTGAGAAGTTGTACAAAATTAGGAGAACTTCTTCACTTCAGAACTGAGCTTCAAAATAAGGAGAACTTCTTCACTTCAGAACTGAGCATGGGACCCACATTTGAAGCTCAAAATTCAACTTGATAGATTGTCAGATACAGATGGAGGTAGAGTCCCATTAATACAAGTAACTGTATATTGTTTTTAAAATGATAACCCCCTCCTGACATTTATTTATTTAGGAATTAAGATAAATATGGTGCATTCCAGAATCAGTTAAATGAAGAATGAGGTTCCACAGAGATGCAGAACATAAGAATGTATTAACCAGCCAAAGAGAGCGTGTTAACAAAACACAGGATAGGAAAGGGAAATAGCTTAGAAGTGACTAAAGATTCTTACCTGTCGAGAGACCATCAAAGTTACATGGTCTTCTCCCCCAACCCTACCACCCACTCTCATCCCCCTTAAAACAGGCTCCACTATGATAGAACAAAAGAGATTTAAGAAGATGAATTTGTTCTTGAATGTTCCAAGCATTGATATGGGGCAGTTTTAAGTCATATTCCAACTTAGCAAGTGGAGAAGGAACCAAAGCCAAGGTGCGAGCCAGCCTCTGTTTCTGAACAGCTGTGACTTTGGGCAGGTTATATAACCTCTTGAACATCTCTTCCCATTGAAAATAAGAGCAATAATGAGTACCTAGACATCTACTGTGGATGAAAGGCCATGATGAGAACTAATTCAATGGAAGCTTTTCTGCCTTTTACTATAAGCTAGGTTGTTCCAAACCACACAATATTTATGTTTCTCTAATAATTTTCAATTCTATTCCATTATCCCCTACAGATAGAAGCCTTGATGGAGACATGTCTCCCAAGCCCACTATATTTCTTCCTTCGATTGATGAAATAAACCTCCATGAGGCTGGAACACATCTTTGCCTTCTCGAGAAGTTTTTCCCTGATGTCATTAAGGTCTATTGGAAAGAAAAGAATGGCAACAGAGTTCTGGAATCCCAGCAGGGAAATATCATCAAGACTAATGATACATACATGAAATTCAGCTGGCTGACCGTGACTAAAAAGTCAATGGATAATGAACTCCTATGTATCGTCAAACACGAGAATAATAAAAGAGGAATTGATCAAGAGATTCTTTTCCCTTCAATTGAGAATAATAAAAGAGGAATTGATCAAGAGATTCTTTTCCCTTCAATTAACAAAGGTATGTGATTATAAAGAAACATAACCTCCCATAATTCTTTTTTCAAAGAAAATACCCCACATTGACGATCAAGCATTAATGAAAAACAAATATAAACTGTTAAATGTTGTTACATTTAATGGTAGCATAAATGTCCTGCTATTTCCCCACAAAATTAAAATTGTATTGGCTTTGAAGCATAAAAAAGAAAAAAATTTACTGAAGCCTTTTCAGCTCAGTTTTATCATCTGAAATATAAAGGTCACAATGATGTATTTTAGGGTTGCTGTATAGATTAAATGAAACAACGCATGTCAAAGTACCTATCAATTTAGCACACAATAAATGCACAAAGAGAGATTCCATTTTTGATGACCTTACTTGATCAGGAAATAAGAACAATCACACATCTTTCAAGAAGGTTCCACTCAGCAAGCAGAGTTCCTCTCACTTCACTCTTACTTTACTCAAAGTAAAACCCAGAAATAATGAGTTATTAAATGACAAAATGGTGTTCGTATGAGGAAGCCAGATCATGGCTCAACAAAATGTAGAATAATTACTGCTTCATGTTTATTATGGTCTTAGGTTTTTGAGGTTTGTGTTTTACCTACCACTTAAGCTAAAATTTTGTAATTGAAGATTGGGTGAGCCTTAAGTGTACAGACTTACTCCCATTTTACATAATGAATGTATTTCTTGCCATTGGTAAACGCCTCTCAAGAAACTTCTCTTGCAGCCCTAGCACGTGCCGGGCCTGGAGGGATGTGTGGATGAACACTCTCGGGTGAATTACTGTCCCAGGAGGATGCAGTACAGTAAAGAGAATATACACTTTTCCTAATCACTCAGGGTCTCTCATGATTCAGGCATGATGTCCCAAAGGAGACCTTTTGATGCAGATGTTGTGCATATCCACAAAGTGTGGGCAGAGGGCTGGCTGTACCTTGGCCCTGGCAGTGGTCCTGTAACTCACTGGACTCGGCACTTAATGACCTGAGTGTTCACCTAACAGACCAAAGGACCCAGAGTGCCCATCAGAAGAAACCATTTTGTTATCACTTCTTTTCTCTGTGGTTAGGAAAACTTTTTAAGCAGTGGCAACCAAGCATAAAACAAAACTGTGCAGAGATTTTGGTGTGTAGCAGTCTGAATTTCTGAAGCAAGTTTTTATCTTCTCAGATCGTGAGTTCATCCAATGATCAAATTACATCCGAGCACTTGCCTTGGCTTTGTCCTGGGGCTGCGATGAAGAGCAAATGAAATAACGTCAGTGAAAATGCTTGCTTTCTAAACCATAACACTGATGTATTTATTCATGCATTCATCATATTTATTGATATGCTTTTCTCAAACTAACTAGAGTAAGATTACAAAAACAACCCTAATTTTCTATTTCTACAGCTAAGAAACAGAGGGGAAGCAAATACGCAAAGTGTAAGTTTAACATAACCTTGGGCTTAAAGGTCTTATTAGGTTTTGATTTTGCTAGTGATCAGGGAAAAACAAAATGATAAGTTCCATGGTGATGACGATCATAAAGGAGAGAAGTTCCAGTTCATAATGTGTTTTACTTGGCACTCCATTTCTGAAATAAATGTCTTCCATGGGCTTCTCAGTGCAACATAGCAAATGAGGGCATTTCTGTCAATGTCATTCTACACTAAACTCCTAATGCTGTTTCATAGAAGTTTTTGTTGGTGGTTCTTTTTGCTGTCTTAATGAAAGATAAAAATATAACATGGAAGCACAAATCAGTGAAGTGATCTTGAAGGCTCATAAAAGTAATCTGGTCCAAGTTCTTGATTGAGAAAGAGAACTTAGGATATTCACACAAATTTTATGATGAAAACTTTTTATGCTATTGTTTTTACCTCAATCAATGCATGGTGATAAGTGATTTTTATTTATCTTATAATAAATAAATTCGCTGAAAGGAAAAGAAAGAGGTTTTTAAGACATATTAATGTCAGTTCTTAAGTATATTTTAACATCTAACAAGAGTGTACTAACATTTTCCTTCTTGGAATTTACCCCAAAGTCTACACAGGTTTACCCTCTACCTGAAAGTAGATTGTTCCTATGAAACCTTTCCTAAGATGAAAGGCATAAAGCGAAGAAGCAATCATCTTAAGACAGATCTTGCTAACAGATGCGCAAAGTAAATGGAGATAAGGCACAGATGCTCACAGATAACAGTTCAGAGCTATGGCAGCTTGATGCTGAAATGCTGAGTGTAGTCCCTTGGCGATGCTGTTCTTGTTGCTGGAGCGCCCGCTGCCTCTATCATGGCTGGCTGCAAAACAAACACTAAATGCTATTTTTGCTTTTAACCTTTTCTCGTAAAAGTGAAAATCCTCTTCAGATTTCTTTCTGTTAGCAAAAACAGGTACTAATGTAGGTCTTTCGTAAAAGCGAAGTGGCGTAAACTTTTGAAAAATAGGGGATACTTGTACCTTGAAGCCATTTTTTAGAGCAAACCAACTAAAGATCTCCCTGAACCATATCATAAACTAGAACCATATCATATGTACAAAAACACACCTAGGAGAAAAAGGATAAACCAAACAACCTCTGTGTCTCTGATTTCCTCCATCCAACAGTCTATTATTTTTTTAAAGAAATTTTGTTTTTGTATGAATGTAGGAGGAAAAGGATAAACCAAACAACCTCAGTGTCTCTGATTTCCTCCATCCAACAGTCTATTATTTTTTTTAAGAAATTTTGTTTTTGTATGAATGTTTGCCTTTTTTTTTTCATTGTAGATAAATACACCTTTCACCTCAGGTTTTCATATTAACTAGAAATATGATTTGGTCTCTCTCTCTATCCTGGAAAGAATTGAACTGAAATGCTGAGCTCCTGTAATAAATATTTCATTTGTTAAGAATAATTAAGATCTCTGGAAAAGAAGATGTTTTCAGTGTCCACCATGGTGGAATTATGTTGTCTCTCTATAGATTAATTTCTCTTTATTTCTATGGATTATTTTTTACAAAGTACTTCCCACCTACTCTATCTCATTTAATCCCCCATGACCATCCTTTGAATGCACTCTGTCATCACTGATATGACTTATCCTCTAATCTTTATTCCTCTTTTGTACCGTGCAATACCCCCAAATACAACTCACTCCAGTGTCACTGGGGAGTTAAAGGAGATAGTGCATATGAAGTATTTAAGCAAGTACCTGGCACAGTAATAATCACTCGCTAGCTATTAGCCTCATTTATATTGTTATCCTGATGTCCACAAACTCCACAACTGCAGAAAATCACATACATGAGTTGGGGATACTGGGGGTATGTGTGATCTGGAAAGGTTTCACTTCTTTTTTTTTTTTGATGGGAAATTTACCTAAGCCAGACTCCTTCAAACATGAGATTCTGTTGTAGATTCTGGGATTGGATGCATCCGTTTGGGGAGCATCCCTTCATGTCAGCAGTGGGCGCTGAAGATGTAGAGCAGCCGCTTTTTCTGACGATTTGTCGTTTGACAGTATTTCCTGAACGCTTTGGGGTGTAGGAGATGCGAACACAGAAGGAAACCAAGATGGTCTTGGATATTACCCTCCAGTTGTAATAAAGAAAAACAAAAATGTACCCTTCATGAACTTGAACGTCCTCAGATACAGAAAACAGTATATGCACTAGATCTACTGAATTACATTGAACCAGACCATCTATTCCCAGATTGTAGGCATCTTATTTTTAATGATTCTCTCCTCTCTTGGCAGATTCTATCAGTCTGTCTATCCAGAGACACACACAGAGATGCACACTGTCAAATAATGGATATAAACAATTCACTAATACTTGCTCTTATTTCTTGTAGAGGTCACTACACCTGCCTGCGTGAAAAAAGGAAGTGGTAAGTTTTTGTCTAGGTTTGCCTTTATGTCAGGCTGCAGCACATTTTTTTCCTCTGGATAAACTGAACTTTTGAACTTCCTTGGTTTAAGGGAGAAAAACCAGAATGTCTGGATGCTGCAGAAATAGACTGAGTGATAGTTTAAGTAAATCTATCATCATTTCCTAGGAGTCACCTTAACACAGTAAATGCTGGTTTTGGTGTGACGTGACTCTAAATTAGGGGGTGCAGTGATAGGTTCCGAATTATTTCAACAGTGGATTTCCTCCACTTGTGTGGCTTGTGTTTCTAATGACTAGGGAAACGTGGTATCAAGTTGTTTGTAGATTTTTTTTTTTAAGTTGTAGCCCTTGCTAGTACCTAATACATGAACTGACACTAACTGAGAGCTCCGTATACACAAGGTGTTGTGCTGTGTCTTGCCTACATATCCTGTTTACTGCTTCTAATACTCCTAGGAGGTGATACAATATTTTTCCCTCACTTTACAGATGAGGGCAGTGAGCTACAATTAATTAAGTCCCTTGTACAAAGCCACACAGCTCTATCTGCGGATTCAACCCAACCCATTTGAATCAATGGTTCATGCGCTTACTCAGTTCTCTATCCCTCCTCTAAGATATAAATATAGAGCAAGAATCCCAAGGTCAAAGCCCTGAGACAGAGTGGGCAGGGGTGTAAGAGCGTGGGCTTCTGCTATCACAGACTGGACTTTAAGCCCAGTTCTTTCATTACTAGTTGCATGAATATGGGTAAATTCCTTACATTTTCTGAGCAATACAGTCATCATCCGCCCGTAGGGAACAGTTATTGCAGACATAAGGTCACATATGTGGAATAGGGTATCCATTTAGCTAGCACAGAATCAGTACTAGCTGGTGGTCCTTTCTCCCCACAGGAAGGTTCTAAGTGAATTTAGAAGCACTGGCTCTGGCCCTGCTGATCCTTCTTTCGTTCCCCCTATCAGGGGGCCTGGAACTCACCTAACACCTGAGCTGACTGAGGGCAGTGAGTTCTGAGCACATCACCTCCTGAGATCCCTTTCCACACCAAGTGCTGGTGATTCTGGAATTCTGACTCTATGAAGATGAAGCGTGGGAAAAGGGAAATTTCCCCAGAAACGGACTCAGCCTTGTGGTCCATTCAGTAGCCAAGTCAGGCCCGTCATCACTGTTGTTAATTATTTCTTCACATCATATATGTCTTTGAAAACTTGATAGGAGAGGAAGTGTCATTACCTAATAACATCCTAGCCACCATGAGAGATGTTAAAGAAAATACAGGTGACTGAGGCATGAGATCCTAAAGTTTCAGAGAATTTGGATTAAAATGTTTATTCCACTTTGTGCAATGTTCTCTTTACTAAGCCCCCAACCACTCCACTGTGAACACCAGCAGATTTTCCTGATTTGTACCCCTCATACGAATCTCATTGATACTTCTGACTGTGATGCGTTCCCCCATCACTGTGTTTTAGCCTCTCAAAAGAACAGGTGAAACTAACCAAGATGTCTTCTCCTAGATTCCCTGCAGCTGCAGCTCACGAACACCTGTGCCTGCTACACCTACCTCCTTCTCCTCCTCAAGAGCTTGGTCTACTTTGTCATCATCTCCTTCTGTGTGTGTAGAAGAACAGCCGTCTGCGGCCATGGGAAGAGCTCGTGACAGAGGACACCACAAAGGGGTCACCTTTCCTTCATCATCTCTTGTCTCTAAAAGTGTCTGCTGAGGATCTAGCTGGGCTTCCTTTCTGGGTTTGGGTTATTTCAGTTCACATGTGTATTCTTCTATGTGCCATTATTGTGTAAGGGCTTTTCAAACCACTGGGCAAGCAGACAGTTTGACTCCGTAACAGGGAATTCTACCATTACTCAGGGCAGGGCCCAAGGCTGGCCCAGGGGAGCCTCTCCCACCACTGTCCCCACAACCTCCTCAGGTCCTCCTGCCCCCGAGTCCTCGTGCCTCCTGAGGGCACACAGCGGGCAGCTCCCCTCTCTCCCTCAGTGCCTCCACCCAGACCACGGCCCACACCCTCCCTGCCACCCACCCTGGGGCCACCAGCTTTGCCACTTGAATCCTGTCCTTTGATTTTCATAAGAGACATGAAAAATAAAAAAAACAAATCAAAAGTCCACTTTTGTCTGTGTATTTTAATCTCATGAAATCTAACCAAGGTAAGGAACAGCATGACAACCGAGCTATCAAATCCAGTGCTGGTTGTAATAATGGTCACACCGCATTTCTGAGTCTTTCCCTGAGGTGCTGATCTAGTCCTTTCTTTGGGGCACTGGCTCCAACGGCACCCACCGCCAAACGAAGGTGCCCGGGTTCCTTCACTTTCAAAGGTCACCAGATTCAGACTCATTGGTTTGGGACGTTCCTGTGATGACAGTATAACAGCCAGCGTGACCTGCACCGTGTGTGCTCAGATCTGTACTAGTGTCTCACAGGCACTGACTCCTGACCCTCACATTAACTCCATGAGAACTGCACCGACACCAGAGGGGCACTGGGCGGGGGGTGAAGCACACAGATTCTGACCCCAGAGGGCCTGAGTTTGAACCCTGGGTCTTTTTTTTTTTTAATAAATAAGAGAGGCTGTTATAAATATAATTAAAGAATAAGAACAAGAGCAGGAGACTATCAAAATGATTGGACAAAATTTTCAACTAAACTCAATTGAAAAATACAGTAAACTGGAAACTTAACTGTTAAACAAGTCATGCACTGTAGAAAAAATTTATAAGCTAGAATCTAAAAATGAATAAATTACATGCACACACAGATCGATAGATATACCTCACATATAACATGTAGAAAATATATAAATATGTATATCTATATGATTAGAAAAAAAGGAGTAAAGAAAGAAAATATCTGACATACTTACAAATGGACTTCTGGAAGAAAAGAACACGAAGAATGGAGGAAAGACAATATTTAAAGAGATAATGGCTAAGTATTTTCCAGAATTGTTGTATGGCATGAATCCTCAGTTTCAGGAAGTCTAATCAATGTCAAATGGGATAAATAAAAAGCAAGGTATACTTAGCCAAGTTGCTGTAAAACTGTAGGACCAAAGACAAAAACATGATTTTAAAAGCAGCCAGAGGAAAGAGAGAAATTGCTTACAAATGGCAAAAATCAGATTAAAACCTGACCTCTCGACAGCAGCAATGTAAAACAGAAGACAATTAAACAATAGCGTCAACTTTCTGTGAGAGAACTGCTGTCAACTTAAAATTCATTATCCTCTAAGCCTACCTCTCCAGGACAAAGGAAAATATATTAACTTATAGATTAAGGAATTTCTAAGATAAGTATTTCAAAAAAAAAAAAAAAGAAGGAAAAAATGATCTCGAATGGAGGCACCTGAGATGCAAGAAATTATAAGCCAAAAATATGGCATGCGTGTTAATCTAAATAAACAATTACTATATAAAGGAAAATAATATCTCAATTATAATCAAGAGAGAAATGATCTGTTCTAAGGCTTTGCTTTTATATTGATTTAACTTTACATTGTGTTGAGTTAAATTCCCTTATTGAAGCTCTTTAGGGCAACCACTAAAGAGAAAAAGCAAGAGAGGAGAAAAATAGAATGGGGAAAATTATTAATAAAAAAGGTAAGAAAACAGAGAGGAAAGAGAAAACATAAATCACAAAATAACCTAGTAGTAATGAATCCAAATAACTCAGTAAGCATTTCAAAAATAATAGATTATATAAAAAACAGAATCCAACAATATATTGCTTGTATATGACACAATCAAAATGTAAAGGCATTTGGGTGGAAAAAGATCTACTAGGCAGGGCTTCCCTGCTGGCGCAGTGGTTGGGAGTCTGCCTGCCAGTGCAGGGGACGTGGGTTCGTGGCCGTGGGCCGTGGGCCCCCTGCGTGGGCCTGCGTGGGCCTGCGCCGTGGCCCCCGTGGGCCATGGCCGCTGGGCCTGTGTGTCCGGAGCCTGTGCTCCGCAGCAGGAGAGGCCACAGCGGTGAGGGGCCCACGTACCGCAAAAAAAAAAAAAAAAAAAAAAAAAGAAAAAAGATCTACTAGGCAAATACTAAGCAAAATCAGCTGGGCAAGTATTATAACAGAAGAAAAGTAAATAAATGACATAAAAGTTGGAAAGGAAGAACCAAATCTATCACAATTCACTATCCATAGATCATATGACTGTTTACAAGAAATTCCAAAATAAACAATAGGAAATGATTAGAATTAATAAGAACATAATAAAGATGTTGGATATCAAATTGATATATAGAAGTAATTTGCATTTACACATATTTGCAGAAAATAGAAAATGAAATTCAAAAAGGTGACATAGTAATTCTTTATATCTATCTAACTAGCATCTATCTATGTATCTATCTATCATCTCTCTATCTACCTAAGTCTTTCACCTATCTACAAAATCTAGAATTAAGTCTAAATTTAATGTGGAACCTTTTAAAGAAAATTATAAAATTTTAGTGAAAGACATTAAAGAAGAATGAAATAAGTAAAGAAATACCATGTTTTGGGAAGGGCATATTTAATGTTTTTAAGATGTCAGATCTCTCCAAAATTATCTGCGGATCCTGTACACGTCCAATGAAAACACAAAACGTATTTTGTGGAATTTTACAAGCTGTTTCTAAATTTTATATGGAAGAGAAAGGGGCCCAAAATAGCCAAGAGTCCTGGAGAATATAAATAAGGTAAGTGTGGGTGGGGTGGTGAATGGCCCTTCAATGTATCAAGATTTATTATAGAACTACATAATTTAGACAGAGTGGTATGGGACAAGGATAAACAGGGAGAAAAAGGTGAAGAG